CTTTTTGACAACGAAGAAGATTGTATCCAGACTTAACAGAATATCCTCCATGCTTAGTATGCTTCCATATGATCTGATCAGATGCTCCTGTGATAGAAGGTCGAATCATTTTGATAAGAGGGATATCCAAAGGATCGCAAAGTATCTGTAACTGAGATTCATCCCAGCTTATAGATCCTGCAATAAAGAGGTCTGACACTTTCATATTTGGATATATTGTAGCACCAATACCAGAAGCTGGCACAGACGGATTGATAGGCAGCCAAGAATCCTTCCACACATTTATTTGTCTCCCATTTCCAACAATCCATTGAACTCCGTTTTTAAGCACCTGATTACCTTTCAATATACTGCGCCATGCATAACTTGAAGCCCATTTCTGTTTCGCCTCCAACAAAGTAGTTTTTGGAAAGTATTTGGACTTATAAACTCTGGCCAAAAGAGAATGAGGATTTTGCAGCATTCTCCAACCCTCCACGAGCTTGTTGTGAGGACCACCAAAATCTCCTCGTAACTGCCACAATCTGTCTAATAATTGCCATAGGCAACATAAAACAAGTCATACAATATGCAGGAATAGCGGTTACCACCGATCTGATTAAGACTTCCTTACCAGCAGGCGACAATAATTTTGAATACCAATTCTCCATTTTCTTAGATACTATTTGAGCCAAATAGGAGAATGTATCAGTTTTATTCCGACCAATATATTCAGGAAGTCCTAAATATTTACCAAATCCCCCAACCTTCTGAATATTAGTAGTTTGAAGAAGATAATCCTTAAGTGCAGGGGAGATACCTTTAGTAAACATAATTGCTGACTTTTGAAAATTAACCGCTTGTCCAGATGCTTCCTCATATTGGTGTAATAAATGTAAAACTTCCTGACATTCTTGCACTGTGGCTTTACAAAACAGCAGGGAATCATCTGCAAAGAGCATGTGAGTAACTGAAGGGCCTCCCCGACTTGCACAGAAACCCGTAATGAGACCTTTGCTCTCTGCTTGAGAAATTAAGTATGATAATCCCTCTGTGCATAACAAATAAATATAAGGAGAGATTGGGTCCCCTTGTCTAATACCTCGAGTTGGGACAATAATGTCAGATGGATTGCCATTAAGAAGAACTGAATATGTAACAGTTGAAATGCACTTCATAATCCATCCACACCATTTCTCTGCAAAACCCAACTTCTTCATTATATTCTCAATATATATGACCACTCAACTTTATCAAAGGCTTTGCTGATATCCAACTTTAAGGCCATAGTTGGATCAACTCGTCTCCGAGTATGCATCGAGTGCAGCAATTCATGGGATATAAGCACATTATCAGTAATAAGACGCCTTGGAATAAAAGCTGTTTGGTTTTCTGAAATGATTGAATGCAGTATAGGTTTAAGCCTTTCAGCGAGGACTTTGGAAAGGATTTTATACGCAACATTGCTCAAGCTAATAGGCCTATAATCCTTGACTTCAACAGGTGATTCAATTTTAGGGATCAAACAGATATATGTACGATTCAAAGCAGGATCCAAACTAGAAGTTTCAAAGAAAGCTCGAATGAATCTTACAACACCTTCCTTAATGACTGACCAATGGTCCTGGTAGAATCCCGCTGTAAGTCCGTCAGGCCCTGGAGCCTTATCTCTATTCATCTGTTTGAGAGCTTGATAAATCTCCTCTTCTGTAACCTGTCGAGTGAGATGCGCATTCATTTCTTCTGTAACTTTTGGACGCAGATTCTGAAGAATATCAGGTGCGATATTATTCCTCTGAGAAGAAAACAGCGCAGAAAAGTAATTAGTTGTGATCCTTTCAATATCATCTTGCTTAAAACAAATATTGCCTGAATCATCAGCAAGAGAGGTAATTCTATTCAAGAATCTTCGCTGCTTTGTTCGAGCATGGAAATATTTTGTGTTACGATCACCGGCTTGCAACCAAAGAGTTCTACTCTTGGTTCTCCAATACTCTTGTATGCATGAGCAAGCTGAGATTTAATAATACCAATGTGAGCATAATCTATAGGAGTCCTCTCATATGCCTGCTGAAGAGACATCTGAAGCTTATTGATTAGCTTTTGTGAATTAGTAGGGTTCTGAGATTTCCAATTAGATAATCTACGCCTGCAAATCTCTAGAGCCTTACTAAAGTTGTTGCTAGGTATCTCTTTACATTTATCCTCCCAGACCTTCTGAATATCATCCTTGAGTGCTGTATTAAATCTCCATCTATTATCATAGCGGAATAACTTATAACCCTTCCACTTAGATGTCTCTGTATGTAATAGAATAGCACAGTGATCCGAACAAAACCAAGGTAGAATTTGCGCATATGCAGTAGGATAGATGTCTAACCAGTCACTTGTGGCAACAACTCTGTCAATACGAGTTCTAACAGTATGCTTATACCTCTGACCAACCCAAGTGAATTTGCCACCAAACGTTTTGACATCATGAAAACCACAAACATCAAGCATTTTCTGTACCATCCTGCTTCCGCTTCAGCAATCATCCTGACCAAATTTAATTTACATAGAATTTAGATCAAGTTTTTTAAGTTTTACATCAAATTTTGGTCCTTTGAATCATAACTAATTTGATCCAAAATAGACTGATATCTAATTTTATTTGGATTATTTAGAGCTTATATTAGATTTAGTTATTAAATATTTTTAAAAACAATAACATATAAAATAAATTCTTAATGTTAATTGCAATAAATAAAATAATTTATAAAATCTAGAAATATAACAAGACCATTACCTGATATTGTAAAATATAAAATCTAGAAATGAAACAAAAGTATTATTATATCTCAGAGGTGAGCGTTATTTGGGTTTTTTGGGTCATCTAATAACCAATCCAAATAATCTAAACTCAAACTAGATTCTAACCTGCCTATGGGTGGGCAGACGTAATTTTTGTTGGCTAAAAATAAAAATAAAAATATTAAGTTATTTGGTAATAATGTTTAGTTTAGTGTATAAAGTTGTATGTTATGAACGCAATGATATGTGGAGTATATACATCGATACGTGTGATATTTATGATATGGAGATGTAGATTTAAAATATAGGTCAGATTTCAGTTCCTATTCGCGAGAGAGCAAACCCTCAGAACCCATTGGTGGAAAAGCACGCCTCCATTGATGCTCGCAATGAAGGTCATAAAGAGAGGAGAGGTATGCGTGAGGATCTCCGTAAGCCACCACAAGGTTTGAAAGATGGAAACCCCGAATCAGCTCTTGCGAAAAAAGTCTTGCGATCGGTGGATGAAAGAAGGCTCGATGAAAGAAGACATGACGAGAGAAGACACGAGAGAGTTTGGAACAGGATCGAGCCAAATGCAGGGTATCGTCGGGAAGCTCGGAGATATGAGTTGCACCCTGAAGCTGAGGAAGAAAACCGGTCTCGAAGCAGAGATGGAATAAGAATCTCGGAGAATGTCTATCGCAAAAGGCGATACGAAGAATCATTTACAGCGAACAAAGAGAAGTTTGCCAAAAACAAGGAGAAAGAGATGTTACTGAATAAAGACTCCCAACCTGACAAAACCTACCGGAACAAGCCGTTCTCATCCGCGAAGCTCTCTTCAGACTCGCAAAGGACAATTTCTGACTCCCCAAATCGCATGAACAAAGCTAAAGCAAAGCATGGAAACACCTCCCCTGAGCACGTGCAAAGCCGACCCTTTCGACTCTCTCTTCTCAGCAAATCATCAAGCTTGGGAAGGGGTAATGGCATGGAAACCGGTGAATCCTCAGAAGCTGCAAGCTCTGCAAAAAAAGCTCTAATCTTTGAACCGGTTGATCCGGTGAAGCTTGATGAAGCTGACTCACATGAGCCACAATCTCCTCAACACCACCGAAATACCTCTCTCCCCGTGCAACCCTTGATTCAGAAGAGCTGGTATGAACAAACATTGGAGGAGGAAGAAGAGGAAAACGCCCCCTCAAATGAGGCTCTGAACCCCCTCGAATCCTTTGCACTCCCAATGGAAGGGGATCCTGGGGTAGCTATGGGGGAAATCGCAGGGAATGACCACACAAATCTCCATTCAGTGGAAGAAGATCTCATGGAGGAAGACCTCCCTGAAGGCAATGAAGACTTCGGAATTTCTGAAACAATTGAGGGCCTAGCAGACGGTGATGACTGGATGGATGATACAGATCTGTACGACGAAGGAGAACTGGACGAGCTTCTCACAAACGACGATCTGCTCGGTGAAGAACTCGCTCAAGATGGAAAAGTGAAGGCGGCGGATGACCAAAAGCATATTGAAAACGAAGCTCACTCTTTTCAGGCAGCATCATGGTGGCGAAGCCCACCTAAGTCGGGAATGAATGGAGATGTTTCGCCGGGTGCTGCTAAATCTGGCAGACTTCTCGGAAAGAAGAAGTCGGTCCCTAGATCGCCGGCAATGCTGGGAGTCTCTCTGAAGAAAAGAAACTTCACGTTGGGCCGTACCTCTCCTAAGGCCAGGGGAAAAGGAAAGAACACAAATTCAGGCCCAAATACAAGCCCAGAGGAAGAAACAGATGGAAAGCCCAAGGGAAACAAAACAACAAAGGCCCAGAAGCCAAAACCACCATCAGGCTTAGGAGAGCCCCCGAAACCAGCCAACCGAAAGAAATGAATGTTCTTGGATGGAACTGTCAGGGCGCGGGAGCCGACCTGACGAAGGATCACTTAGAAGAACTTTATCATTGTTTTTTCCCTCGCTTTTTATTTTTATCAGAAACTAAGAACAATCGGATATTTATGCAAGATATGCAGATGTATTTTGGCTATGACCATGTTTTTACCGTCGATCCTAGAGGTCGAAGCGATGGTCTAGCCCTCTTTTATATGGATGAACCCTCGGTTTCTATTATTATTCCGACGAGCATATGATCGATATTGAATCAAGTCTAGACGGACATAAAATCTTTATGACTTTCGTCTACGGGGATCCGGTTATTAAAAACCGAGAAAGTGTTTGGGAACGTTTAACAAGGATGAGCTTAACCAGGAACGAAGCCTGGTTTATGATTGGGGATTTTAACGAAATTACCGGGAACCATGAGAAACGGGGAGGTCGTAGGCGTCCGGAAATCTCTTTCATCCCTTTCCAGACCATGATAGCTAATTGTGGGATGATCGATCTCCCTTACAAAGGAAATTCATTCTCCTGGGTGGGAAGAAGACGCTCAGGAAAAGTCAAATGCCGCTTAGACAGAGCACTTGGAAACGAAGAGTGGCTCTCCTTTTTTCCCCATTCATCCGCAGAGTATCTGAAACTTTGGGGATCAGACCACAGACCAGTCCTAGCTATGATAAAATCTGAAAATATAAGGAAGAAAAAATTATTTCGCTTTGACAAAAGATGGATTGGAAAACCAGGATTCAAAGAGGTAGTCGTTTCCGGGTGGGGCCCTTTTGATGGAATCTCACGTCGAGATTTCCATCTGAAAGTGGCACGATGCCGGAAAAACATCTCCATCTGGAAAAGATCTTCCCCGACGAACTCGCAAAAGATGATCAAAGATTTAAAAAATCAATTGGATTTTGCCCAAGATGATGACAATACAACGCTTGAGGAAATCGAAAATATTAGGAGACGACTCTGCAAAGCACTCCGGGAAGAAGAAATCTTTTGGCAACAAAAGAGTCGGGAAAAATGGCACAAGGATGGAGATAAAAACACAAAGTTTTTCCATGCGCTCACTAAACAAAGGAGAGCTCAAAACCGTATCGTCTCGCTCAGAGATAGTAATGGACAATTGGTAGAAAACGCGAGGGGGATTGAGCGGGTGGCTTCCTCGTATTTCCAAGAGCTATTCTCTTCAGCTTCCCCCTCTGACCCGGCACTCTCACTCCGGTATATCACCGAGAAAGTATCAAACAATACAAATCAATTACTACTGAAGGAACCAACTGAAAAAGAAATCAGAGAAGCCCTCTTTGATATTAATCCGGATAAAGCCCCCGGTCCTGATGGAATGACAAGTAAATTCTATCAGAAATTCTGGCCTTTTCTCCGCCAAGACATAGTAAAACTCGTCAAAGATTTTTTCAGCTCGGGATCCTTTGACCATAGACTCAATCAGACCAACATTTGCCTAATTCCGAAAAAGAACAAACCCAGAGAAATGACAGAATTTCGGCCAATCAGCCTCTGTAACGTGAGTTACAAGATCATTTCAAAACTAATGTGTAAACGGCTTAAAAAGCCCTCCCTAACATCATCTCGGAAACACAATCGGCCTTTATGGCTAGACGGCTTATTACTGACAATATCTTGTTAGCCCAAGAAAACTTTCATGCACTTCGTACCAATACCATATGCAGAGAAGAATTCATGGCCATAAAGACAGATATGAGCAAAGCCTATGATCGGGTCGAATGGAGTTTCATTGAAGCCCTCCTGATTAAGTTAGGCTTCTCGGCGAGATGGATCGAGCTTCTTATGTTCTGCATTTCCTCAGTCTCATACCAGGTCCTTATTAATGGTGAACCCAAAGGACATATCAAGCCATCGAGGGGTTTAAGGCAAGGAGATCCTCTCTCCCCATTTCTTTTAATCTTATGCACAGAGAGCCTTATCTCCCTCCTTAAAGGAGCCGAGGATGAAGAACGTATTTCTGGGCTGAAAGTGGCCCAAGCAAGTCCCCCAGTGTCGCACCTACTATTCGCTGATGATAGCCTGTTCTTCTGTAAAGCAAACATTCACCAGGGAACAGAGATCCTCAGAATTTTAAACACTTATGGAGAGGCATCGGGGCAAAAACTTAACCTGGGCAAATCATCCATCATGTTTGGAAATAAAGTGGAGCTGAACCAAAAACGAGATATTAAAAACACCATCGGCATCTCGACAGAAGGTGGCATGGGCATGTATTTGGGCCTACCAGAGCAAATCTGCGGATCAAAGAAGAAAGTCTTCTCATTTGTCCATGATCGCCTTAGCTCCCGAGTCAATAATTGGTCTGCAAGACTTCTCTCAAAAGGGGGAAAGGGAGTCCAGATCAAATCAGTGGCTCAAGCCGTACCAACCTACGTCATGTCTTGCTTTCTCCTCCCTCAAGGGATTACTGACAAACTCCGTAGTGCCATTGCCAATTTTTGGTGGAGATCAAAACAAGATAGCAGTGGGATACACTGGATTGCATGGGACAAGATCTGCATTCCCCAGGATATGGGAGGCCTTGGATTTAGGGACTTAAACGATTTTAACCTAGCTTTGCTAGCCAAGCAACTATGGAGACTTATCCAGTTCCCAAACTCTCTTCTGGCACGGGTGCTAAGAGGAAGATACTTTAGACAATCTGACCCTTTAGAGAACCGTAAAGTTTACTCACCATCCTACGGATGGAGGAGTATGTTGGCCGCCAAACCGTACCTTAAATTGGGACTCAGGAAGACGATCGGATCGGGACTCAACACCAGAGCTTGGAGTGAGCCTTGGATCCCCGATGTTAGAGCCCGACCTCCAAGAGCAGGCCCCCTGATTGGCTTCCAAGATCCGGGTATGCTGGTATACCACCTGATCAATCAAGACACGAAACTATGGAATGAGCCGCTCCTAAGAGCCTGCTTCCAACCTGAGGATGTCTCTATTATTCTCGGGTTGAGACCTACTAGGAACCGTACCCTAGATGGATACGCATGGAATCACACCAAATCAGGAATCTATTCGGTCAAATCGGGCTATGATTTGATTAGAAGAATAAAACTGGCACAAAATCCTGAGGTCATGGGTGAACCGAGCATCAGAGCCCTTCAAAGTCATGTTTGGAAAGTACAAACTCCCGGAAAAATGAAGCACTTCATGTGGCAAGCCCTCTCAGGATGCATTGCCACTTGTCATAACCTGACCCGCAGATATATGGCTACAGATGGATGTTGTCCCCGCTGTGGAAACCCTGAAGAATCTATTAACCACCTTCTATTTTTATGTCCCCCGGCTTTACAAGTCTGGGCGTTATCGGACTTTCCGTCCCTTCCGGGCCTCTTCCCGAGTACCTCTATTTTCCAAAATATGAGCTTCCTCTTTTGGAAAACAAAAGAGTTAGGCATGACAGATCCACAAAAGGATATTTATCCTTGGATCCTATGGTATATCTGGAAAGCAAGAAATGACAAGATTTTTAACAGGAAAGAAATCTCCCCGTTAGACACCTTAGTCCATGCAAAGATTGAAGCAGAAAGCTGGCGGAGTGCAAACAAGTCGGAAGCAGAGGAGGACGCATTTGACGAGACAAACCCTAATTCCCTACTTCCGATATCGCCACCTGATACCATGAGGTACCCAATCTGCCAGGTTGATGCCTTTTGGATAGCGAACGGGCTGGTTAGTGGGCTCGGGTGGAGTCTGAAGAAGGAGAGGAGCGGGGAGATTTATGGACTCCAAGGCTGTCGTAGAAGCATCTCGGCATTACACGCCGAATTGGAGAGCCTCTTATGGGCAATGTTTTGCGTGAGAGACAAACAGATCTTATCAGCTCACTTCCAGACCGACTGCTTGGATCTGGTTAACATGGCAGAATCGCCATCTGATTGGCCTTCTTTCCTCTCAGAATTGGAAATCTTCCGATCTTTACGTGAGAGCTTTCTGGATTTCACTATTTCTCATATTCCCAGGAGTTCAAATGTCCGAGCGGATAGTCTGGCGAAAGGAGCTCGAGCTAAAGGCATTATATTCTCCCAAATCATTCATAACGAGCCAGTTGCGGGGGGTCTTCCAGACCATTCCCTAAACGGGTCAATAGTGATGTAATAGTGGGATGGGGGAAAAAAAAATATATAGGTTAGCAATCAAAAGGGAAAATTAAAATGCAAATTTAGTAAAGTATATATATCGTATAGAAAGCATAATTGTTGACAGTTTTACAGATGTTAAACAATCAAAATCCATCACATTTTCTTACAACCCTTGTTATATTATAAAGAAAGCTCATCACTTTATCACTTATATAGAACAAACTAATTGTATGGCCCCCATAAACCGATTAATTAATAAAATATAAAATGCAAATGTATATAGAAAATTGGTCAAATTCATTGACAATTTTAATAATGTTAAACCATTAAAGCCCATCACCTTATAAATTATAGAGTGTAAAGCATTGCAATGGCCCAAAAAATCGAATTGTTAAGAAAACTGCAAATTTAAGTGTTGAAAAGGTGTTTTTTTCCATTATTGAATAGTTGGTTTAAAGCCTACATATTATTCATACTGATATCACTTATATAACTGACTCGAATATGTCAAATACGAAAAAAGTTCAGAGTATAAAAAGAGTTATGACAAATAAAGAAACACTTGTACATATATGAAAACACTGTTATTCTCTAATATCTTCTTAACTATCACAAACTAAACCTAAATCCACCTCCGTGTTGAACCTGCAAAAAATAAATATAAGAAGCCTAAAAATAACCATATAGTGGCTTATATGAGTATGTGACAAAAATGATGTATCTCTATTAATTCTGGTAAAACCATAATGTATACATCTACTTGAGATATAAAGATAAGCATCATAACATATGCATATGAATAGCCTCTTACTTTTTTTTGAAATCGACAGCCTCCTGTATTGGTGGATCAATCAAAAACTGTGAACAATCTGTAAGAGATTGAACACACATTCTCCCATTGTTTTGATCTACATAACATAACATATTGTGTTAAGTAAAGTATGAATGTTTATTTTTAAATAATACAGACTCATTGTTATTTAATAACAAATTCTACTACCAGTTACCTTCCTTAATCACCCAAAATCGAAGAACACATACTGACCGATAAGATCCTATATGGCTCTACTGATGATAAAACTCGAGCAATTTCACCGAAAGCAAAACATGTAATAATGCATGCTCTATATCATGAGAAATATGTATAAGTTACGACAAAAATGAAGTTATAATAACTATATTCATTACATATCTATAATTAAAAGAAGTAATTCTTACTCTTCGTCTACAAGGTAAAAACTTATTGTATCCTGATCATCGTGATATAAGAGATTCCCCACGGCAGAGATAGTTCCAACTAGTTCTATATACGAAGATAAAGGAAAATGAAAATGAGAAAGGGAATATCATAAGTGAATTTTTATAAAATGTGCTGGTACCAGTCAAAACATTCGGGTCAGTCTTCTTCCGCAGAATATCAAAAATTCTTGCTGCATCCAAAAAGTACCGATCTGTATTTGGCTGAATATCAAAAATAATGGACCCATACCTGAGTCTAATGTAGTAATTATTGGGAGTTAGCCTCAGAATTCCTACATTTAGACACACTTTGAAGCCGATAAACAATTTCCAATCTCCTTGTCGAACTGAATCTTCAAGAAAACGCACGTCTCGCGGCTATATCACAGCAGAAATATTCACACTTTAAAAATACAGAATACAATATACCAATAAAAGTTATTATTAAGCAACTAAATCTATGACAATCGATTGTGATACTACTTAACATATTAGAAGTAGATGTATGATCTAAATATAACTATGATCCTAAAATTAATTTTCTGCATATGTACCTTATGATCGATGAGTATCATGTTAATACTCTCTCCACCACCAGAAGGTTGCCTCCAAAGACTCAAAATTTTCGCATCAATAGCCCAACATTGGCCAACGTCACGTAAATCTTTCAACTCATTGATGGGCTTGTGGGCCTAGGGTTGTTTTTTAACAAGCTTGTTGGTCCTCCAAAAGTTTTAAATTTATAAAACCATAGTGTCTGCAAGTGCACAGATGTACGTTGTAGGACTTAGGGTGTCGATCCACAGGGAAGATGTCTAATCTGCAAGAAACAACAATCTGAGAAGTAAGCAAACTCATAAACCAATAAAAGTTTTGGGGTTTTTGGTTAAGATCCTAAACTAAACCTAATCTAGTATTCACAAGAAATGCAATGCAGGATGAATTGTTAAAAGAACATCTAAAGCATATCGACTCAAACTAAAGACTCTTAAACTCATAGGTGGCGATTTAGATGATATGTTCATAATTTGTATCATTTAGGTTGTATATTTCATTCCAAATCATGTTATTTCTCATGCATATTAGGTCCTTAGGTGTTGTTTTAGGACTTAGGAGTTGCATTAGGTCCCAATGAGTCTTTGCATGTTTGGAGTGTTTATCAGGTGTATTTGGAGCTATTTGGAGTTGAAAAGGTGAAACCAGGAAGAGAAACGGTGATCAGAGCTTGAAAGATGGTGAAAATGGATTTTTGGAGGTTCTCGGCGATTTTCACGTACCGCAGGAAGCTTTTCTCAGCATTTTTCATGTACCGCGGGTGAACCTCTCGGCCAAAACACGTACCCTGCTCAAGTTTCTCGGCCAAAAACTCTGGGTGAAGATACAATCCTCCCAAGGAAATTGCACTTGCTTGTTTGGTAGGGGTTGATATACTCGGCCAGATCGGTTTGATCGGAGAGATGCTAAGGGGTGAGGGGTTGCCTCGAAGATCCTTAGGCCCAACTCGCGAGAAACGGAAACTGAACAAGGGGGTGAGAACACCAAGTGTTGATCTCGCGGGTCAAGGATGAACAGGCGTGAGACTTGATCTCGAAAATCCTGTTGCCCCTAAACTACTTTGAACGAAATCGAAAACAAGATGTAAGGAAGGCTGCGTCGAATCCTATGGACTGAATCCGATAAACCAAAATAAACTTTCAAGGCTAACCACCTAAGAAAGGAAACTCAAAGAGAACAAGAGAAAATCTCGAAATTTTATTGATAAAAAAAGTGAATGAGAAAATACAAGGGATTAGGGCTCTTTATATAGAGTCTCATAAGAAGTGCAAAAGACAGAAATAATAAATAGATACATTGAATACGATAAAGGACTACTCGGCTTCCTCGGATGTCCGTTTGTCTTCTTTTGCGCGAATGATCTTTCAACTCCTTGTAACGACTATTAACCAATTCGGATAAGGAAAAGATGTGGACCTTAACCTCATTAAAACCCCATCCGGTAAACCCGATGGGACAAACCCGGATGCAAGGAAAAAGAGTATCAAGGGGCCACACCGTCCGAATAGGCTAAGAGTGTTACAGCTCGGTCGCTTAGTGTGGCATCCGTGAACTTGGCCATCAGCTCGGTGTATAACCTCCAAATGAACATGGACAGCTTCTTAGCTCGGGACCGTGTAATTGGACCAGTGAGCTCGGTCAGTTCTGGACTTGGGTCGTTCACCTTGGTCAGCTTTCCTTCTTGAACCTCCATCTCACTTAGCTCGGCCATTTGGTCGTGATTTCCGGTCTGAACTAGTCCTCCGGCCTGACCCTCAGTTCGCACCTCGTCCATGCTCGTATCATGTCTGCAAGTGCACAGATGTACGTTGTAGGACTTAGGGTGTCGATCCACAGGGAGGATGTCTAATCTGCAAGAAACAACAATCTGAGAAGTAAGCAAACTCATAAACCAATAAAAGTTTTGGGGTTTTTGGTTAAGATCCTTAACTAAACCTAATCTAGTATTCACAAGAAATGCAATGCAGGATGAATTGTTAAAAGAACATCTAAAGCATATCGACTCAAACTAAAGACTCTTAAACTCATAGGTGGCGATTTAGATGATATGTTCATAATTTGTATCATTTAGGTTGTGTATTTCATTCCAAATCATGTTATTTCTCATGCATATTAGGTCCTTAGGTGTTGTTTTAGGACTTAGGAGTTGCATTAGGTCCCAATGAGTCTTTGCATGTTTGGAGTGTTTATCAGGTGTATTTGGAGCTATTTGGAGTTGAAAAGGTGAAACCAGGAAGAGAAACGGTGATCAGAGCTTGAAAGATGGTGAAAATGGATTTTTGGAGGTTCTCGGCGATTTTCACGTACCGCAGGAAGCTTTTCTCGGCATTTTTCATGTACCGCGGGTGAACCTCTCGGCCAAAACACGTACCGCTGCTCAAGTTTCTCGGCCAAAAACTCTGGGTGCAGATACAACTCCAAAGTCGCGTCACCGGAAGATCTTGCCAGCCAATTCAGCTTACAGGGTCTTCAGCAAAGTTGGATATAATCGAGTCAAGAACCCAGGACAGTTCAAATCAGGACATTTGGAGCACTGAGCTGAAAGATACGATCACCGGAAGACAGACCTATCTCGCATCCATTCCGGAGCAATCCAATACGCCTGAAAGATCACCTGTCCGGGGAACCTTCCGTTCCGATTCAGCTGTTGGGTGCTTCATCAAAGTTGTATAGGATTGGATCATGGTTCCATATCAAGTAGAGTCATAAGATTTGGAGTCGTGAGCAAAGAGTTAAGCTCACCGGAAGGCACGCCTGTCTCGCTACCGTTTTGGACCGACCCGATGAGCTCCGAAGATTTCGAAGGACGATGCACTTCCTGACCGATTCAGTCTACAGGGCCGTCATCAAGATTTGCGATATTTGAGTCCTCTTTTCAGAACATTTGAGATCATTCAATTTGGAGCCATGAGCAAGAAGATAACGTTTCCAGAGTGGACACATGTCTAGATGCTTCTTTCTGACCGTGTCAATGAACTGCAAAGATGATCCCTCCGGGGAACCCTCCACTTCCCAAGCGTTGAGGGTTCCTTCACCAAAGTTTGAACTGTTTGAATGCCCTTTCCACTGCAGCTAGAATCAAGCCGTTCGGATCTATATTCTGGAAGTTACTCTCCCCCGAATGTGAAGTTGTCCGAGGAGACCTGAAGCCTGCGAGATAGTCTTGCGACTTGGTTAACTCGTAATGCCTGGAGATTAATGTCTGGGGATTGAGCTGCGTGT